TTACTACACAACAGCATCAACAACGACAAAAACTCACAGCGTAGATAGAACAATAAAAGAATAAAAACAAAAAATAAAAATGAAAAAAAAGTGAAAACATATTTTATTACAATTTTTTTCCACTTTATTTTCATTTTTATTATTTTATTGTTCTATCTACGTGACTTTACCGAAAGACCCAATGAATATGAATTCCTGCAGTCACGAAAGCTTTAAGTCAAAATAAAATAATACAAATTATTTTGTTATTATTTTTTCCATCTACGTGACTTTACCGAAAGACCCAAATAATATGTGCATATGTCCTCCACCTGTTCTGCATGGGTTTGGGTTTAGCTCATAGCTAAGCACATACAGTGTTATTAGTTTTGACTAAATATCCGGATTCATAGACCCTCCTGAACAAAAGTGTGTTTCTTTTGTGTGTGGCTTTCCTGGATGAATTCTCTTTCTAGTATAGAAATCGCGCTTGCCGAGACCATATGAGGTGGCAGGCTTAGTTGTGGCTACCGCACTGATACTGTACACACAAAAGGTGACAGACAAAAGCACGATTGTGACTACAACACGGGCCCTCCCATCGTTCTAGATTTGAAGCTTTCGTGACTGCAATGATTCATATTCTTAGGTTTTTTCGGTAAAGTCACGTAGGTAAAAAAATTAAAATTAATAAAAGTAAAATAAAAACAACGTCGTGATTTCAATTTTATTTATTTATTTATTTTTATTTTACTTTTATTAATTTTATTTTTTTACCTACGTTACTTTACCGAAAAAACCTAAGAATATTACCTCCCATCGTTCTTTGTTAATATTGCCACTCTCACCTCCCTCTATGTCCCCTCTCATCCTCTTCATTCCCATACTTCTCTGTCTCTCTCTCTGCCCCTCATTGTCCCTGTGCCCAATCCTGTTTTCAGTCCTCCCTCCTTGCACCCCTCCACTGGAATAAACTCCCTCCTGTACATTATAAACAGTCCTCCTTAAATTTCGATTTAAAGCTGTCGTGACTGCAGGGATTCATCATCTTGGTTCTTACGGTAAAGTCACGTAGAATGGAAATAATAAAATAATAAAAATAAAACATAATAAAATAATTCTCACGACGTTTCGGCCACAACGCAAGCAGCCGTCCTCAGGTGGAGAGCAGGTCTGTCGAGTAGCCAGAGTCTGAATGACACACTCCAGGCTTGGAGCGACTATTTAAGCTGGGATGGAGGGGGGAAGGGCGCCTTGACAACATAATTTGCATATCAAGAGGAATTTAGCATATTTATGGGAAATGCAGATATGCGATTAGTACTACTTGTGAAATGCGTAGGAGGTTTGGCGGGGGGTTTAAAGTCATTATGCCCGTTCTTCCCTCTCTCAAAGCTGCACCTCTTCTCCATTGCCCATTCCCTTCCTCTTCCCTCCCCTCGCTCCTCCACTCCTTCCCGTCCCTACCCAACCCTTTCGTGATCCCTAAGTACCCCTCGATCACTGTCGCTCATTCCTCAACCCTCGCACGCCATTGCCATCGAGTTAATTATATTGTCACCGTTTTTTTTTAAACTATGTTAATCGCCGTTCGTGAAGATTCTCTATAAATATTAGAGTAGATGTGAAATCACCGTGCTGGATGTACAATGCACACGGCATTGTTTTTAGCCCATCTATTCAAAAGAGTAAAAATTATGACCATAGTATTCTTTGTTTTCAGTTTGCATTCACTCTTCTGTCTGACTGATGAGTTTATCATCATTTTAATTCGTTTAAAACTTAGTTGCGTGTGTTTTTTAAACATCTTTAACCAAAGATGGCACTTGGATATGATAACAATTTTTTTTTTATCCATTGTCATTTAATAATTAAAATTGTGTTAATCTTTTAAGGACATTGCTGCTACTAAAGGTTCGTCACCTCGGTTGTATAAACATTTGCTCCGGTTCATGGACTGCACATACGTGTTGGGGTCAATTTATTTGCTTGCTAGAGGAATCATAGTAAACAAATGTAATATCTCTTTGGTTCTTTCGGTAAAGTCACGTATAAAGATAAAATAATAAATTAAAAACTAGCATACTATATAGATATAATTTAGTGTGTCTCTCTCCCTGTATCCTAGTTTTCAAAAAAAAGAATGAGTATGCTAGTTTTTAATTTATTATTTTATCTTTATACGTGACTTTACCGAAAGAACCAAAGAGTAATTCCTGCAGTCACGAAAGTTCCAAATTAAGATTAAATGTAATATTAATGCTAGCTGCACCACTACTTATCTCCATTGCTCCACTCCACTATATCATGGTCACTACTATTATGATTAAACCTCAGGATAACTGATGCGCGGTGTTTCCAAAGGCAATTGCGCATGAATCCGACCTTGCCAGCGACGGCGTGGCTGGACTATTTAGAGAACCGCGTGCTCCTAAAACGAGATGCCTTGGCAGCTGCAAGCTGTCACTTGTGCGAGTGAGAGGGCGAGTGGGAATGCTATGTGCCGTATGTTGCGTTTCTTTCGCACCGGACATAGCCAACTGTGCTCCTCGGAGGTGCGGGAAATGGACATGGAATGGACGCAGGGATAGAATCAGCCCCATAGCGTTTGGGGGGGTGGGGTGCTGGAGGGGATTGAGCATCCTCCTCACTCACCCACCACCTCTTGTTGAAGGCTCAGCCCACCTGCTTAATTATTATTATATTCCAGTAACAAAAACAATTGGCACAAACATGAGTGCAATTACACAATGGGCATTGCAGCCACTTCTCCTGTACATGGAATGCACGAAAGAACAAACCCCGATCTCATTTCCAGATATCTATTTTTTGCATCTATGATTGTTAATATAATACAGGTTTAACCATATTGTGCCCCTCCCCCTGACTTTATGTATGCCCCCGCCCCCTACCACCACCACCACCACCAAGGTCACGTAACAGAGTTGAATGGTATCGAGGGATGGGGTGGCTGAAGCGAGCCACTGAGAGAGCAGGGAAGCTGGTGACAATGGGTGACGTTTCAGGCCGTCACCACAGCCTGGCTCTGTCTGCCCGGGCTATCTAAGTGCTCGTGGGTCTTTTGTGTGTTTTTTTTACGCAGTGCAGATCCACGTGGCTTTTTTCCATTGGGATTCAACAACGCCTGCCTCTTGCCGCATTAGGTCGCCGCCAGTGACACTGTCCTGCACAGACAGATATGGCATTAGCTCGAACTATACTGCATTAAACAGTATATATACACACACTGCTGTGACAGTGTTTTCATTCAATAGCCCAATATACGACGATAGAGTACATCAGTATGATTGTTAATATTAATGCTGGCCTATAATATATTATGTTTGGCATCATAGCATCGATATATTACCAATGCATTGAAAATGTATCGTTTTCATTATGCATAGACATGATTGTTACTGTACAAATATTACTTTTGTGATGTTTTATTGCAATATAATTTAGTCTGTATATCATTACTGGGGTTGGAGCGGTGGTACAGTGGTTATAACATTCTGTGCTACAAACACAGTAACCTGAATGTTATTCCTTGCCTTGGCTAATATTTACGATGAGTGGTATCTGAATCAGTTCTGGCCTTTCCCATTACCAACGCGTACTGACCAGTGTGGTGAAGTATGGTCAAACAATCACCCAACCCTGACACAAAGTGGGGAGGCCTTCATCCAGCAGGGGATTGACACATTAATGTACATAATCTTCATTGTAATACCTTACAAAAATGATAGGTTGGGTTGTATTTAATCACAGTCAATAGAAGAATACTAGTTATCTACTCTGAGACTTCAAAATAAATGCATTCTCAATATCTGTAAGGGGCCCTTCACAGTGTTTCTCAGAACCACACATTTCTCATAACCACATTCACACATTTCTCATAACCACATTCACACATTTATCATAACCACATTCACACATTTCAACCGCACACGAAAGGCAGAGAGATGTGTGGAGTGAAGTCAAAATTCCAGCGAGCTCTGGCCGCGGTGAGTTGGAGTCAGCTGTTGAAGTTGTTGAGTTTATTATTAAACGCAGCCCCATTATCCACCGAAGCACACACGCAGTCACAAACCGCGCCTGCCCAGAATAGCGTGGGCCATGTGCCCCGGATTGTCAAATCAGTCTAGCGGCAGAGACGTGGACAGACTGCCAGAGGCAAACATACTAAACATATAACAGGGGCAGGACGTGCATTTAAAGTGACAGAGGAGAATGGAGACCGTGGAGACTCAGAGAGAACAGAGACACAGCAAGGATACTGTGAAATAGGGGCATCACAGATAGACAAGGAGATGCGGTGCACACAGACAGAGGAGACCGATGCGTGATGGACACATGGAACCAGACGAACAAGACTCTAGACAATAGGAAACGGACTCTAGGTAAAAGTTGGGGGCGGTGGTGGACGCCGATAGTCCACCTTTGCTCAGTGGCAGGTCGCTCATTCTCCTCTGCTGGCCGCAGTGACTGGACCTCCATATCCCCAGGTCATCTGTGCTGTCAACTCCCTGCCCATGGTCAAGTCCATGGTCAAGTCCATGGTGAAGTCCAGGCTCAAGGCATCTCAGAATATTTTCAGAATCACAATATTTATTTTATACTGGAGGAATCCGATGAGCTGTAACGCTGTTTTTCACAGATGTCCAGGGCCAATTATTTGTTTGCTCGGCCAAGAGACTACCTGCCTCTTTCATTATATAAATTAAATATGACAACCTTTTTTCTGTACGGCGTATTGATGAAGGCACGGCGAAAGTCAAACACCGCTGGATACAATCCACGTCGCTCTGTAATTGTTTCTGACAACCGGCGACACACACAGACAGAGAGAGACACCAAGACGTACAGACACACCGGGACAACATTTTGTTTGGCAAAGCCAGACACGTTGTCGCACTGAGAAGACAAGGTTCCGGACCACAGAGAGACCGATCATTATAATTTGTGACAGGCAGAGAGAGAGAGAGAGACGGGCCAGTCGTGGAGGAGACGGAACGCACCTCTGAGCGGCTCTTGAGGCTGCTCCGCTTGGGTCTGAAGAGAACATCCTTGAAGTCGAGTTTCAGGTCTGCATCCACACGCGGCATGCTGGCTGCGTCGGTCTCAGTGAGGCTGCGAGGATGTGTATGTGTGTGGCTGTGTAGGTGTGTGTGTGTGTGAATCTGTGTGTGTGTGGGTGTAGGTATGAATGTGACTGGCTGTGTAAGTGGATGTGTGTTGGTGAGTGAATGGAGGTGTGCGTGGTTGCGTAGGTGGGAGTGTGTCTCAGTGTGATTGGGTGGGTAATATGGGTGTGTGTGGGTGAATTGTATTTATGGATATGATATGTGTGTGTGTGCTAATTTAAGTAGGTGGGTGAGTGGGTGAGCGTATGTGTGTATCTGTGTATCTGTGTGAGTGTGAGGCTGTGTATGGATGCGTTTGTCTCTCGGTGCCCCGTGAGAGTGGATGTCAGCACCTGGGTGTGCGCGTGGTTGGGTGTGAATGGTGCTGAGATTTATATGCTGCGTTGCCTCTTTCTCTGCAGAGCTGTGCGCATGTCAGCGCAGCTGTAGAGTTGAGTGTGTGCGGATCTCTGCCTCTCCGTGCTAGTCAATGTGAGTAGCCGGGTGTCTGGGTGTTTCTCGCTGTCTCCGGGCTCTCTGTATCCGTTCCCAACCCAGCCTCCTACTCCAGTACCCTCGTCAAGGTTATATTTAGGGACGACAGGCGTCCAGGTTCAGCCTGAGTGTGGGGTTGAGGTTGATTCCTAAGCAACCCGTGCACCCAACATCGCATACGCACTGCGCACTGCTGTCGATCGATGTGGGATTTTGACTTGACGAACTATTCTGCCGATTGTGATGTACGGCACGGCACGATGTTCCGACGTTTCGCTCAATGTGCTGGGAGTTTCTTCAACCGATGTCCGACGTTTCGCCCCATGTCGGGAACTGCAAAAAAAGCTCCCAGAGCATTGGAGCGAAACGTCAGACATCACGCCGAACAACACGTGTGGTATACAACCTGAAAACACGTGGACCGAGACCTCGACTGCCCATTGCTCGCGGGTTCTGCTAACCCTACCTAGTTTTCACTGCCCACCACGGCACGTTTGTTCAGTGGTTACCCATTGCAGGCAACACGCGCCTGATGATTGCTATAGTGACGTGGAAAGGTCTATTTCCAATTGAAAAATAGATCTTGTGTATGTGAGTGTGTGTGTATGTGTGTGTGTATGTGAGTGTATGTGAGTGTATGTGAGTGTGTGTATGTGTGTGTATGTGAGTGTATGTGTGTCACTGTGTGTATGTGTGTGTATCTGTGTGTATGTGTGTGTATGTGTGTGTGTGTATGTGAGTATGTGTATGTGAGTGTGTGTGAGTGTGTGTGTATGTGTGTGTATGTGAGTGTGTGTGTATGTGTGTGTATGTGAGTGTGTGTGTATGTGTGTATGTGTGTGTATGTGTGTGTATGCGAGTGTGTGTGTGTGTCACTGTGTGTATGTGTATGTGAGTGTGTGTGTATGTGTGTGTATGTGAGTGTGTGTGTATGTGTGTGTATGTGAGTGTGTGTGTGCGTGTGTCTGTGTATGGGGAGCGGTGGTGTAGCGGTCAGCGCGCTGCGCTACGAACCTGGCGACCCAGGTTCGATTCCCGCTCACGGCCAATACCAACAGTGACGATTATCTGAACCGGTCCTGCCCCCCCCCCCCCCCAGGTCGACTCAGCCTCAAATGAGTATCTAGTGCGATGTGTAAACATCACCACTGGGGGAGACAAAGGCGGCCGTGCGTGGTGCTGGCCACCCACCCCCTCGTGTGCCGTACCGGCCTTCATAGGTGCTCGCTAACAGCACTTGCCCCAACAGTCTGTTACAGGCTATACGGGGGGTCTTTGTGTTTGTCTTGTGTTCCACGTGGCGTACACAGCAGCTGATTGAAATGTAACAAATGATGTGCTGCGTTATCGGTAGTGCACAACACACAAATAACTAATTAACTGCCTTAACATGAAAGGTATACAGTATAATAGGCGACGTTTCGGGCAATGACCCTGTACTATAACGGGTAATTGCCAGAAAAATTGCCTAAGCGAAACGTTGCCTTCTTTACAGCACATGTGCTATGAAGAAGGGCTATTGCCCGAAACGTTGCCAGGAGTATAGATTTCATGTAAAGGCCACAGTGTTATTGACGAATGTGTTGATCTTTTTATTTTTTCTTAAAATCCGTGCCCTCTAATTTACGTGGGACGTGTGTTTTGCAATCATCAGACACGTCGAGCGTGTATCGACCCAATTTGCATTTTAACGAACAAGAGTTGTAAACGCGTCTAGATAGATAGACTGCGGTGATTCGTGAGGAATGCAGTTTGGGAGACGCTGGATTGTTTTTTTTGGATGACAATTTAGCATCATTCACGAAAAATATTGGCAATTATTATTAAGCATTGGAGTGCATACTGTAGTATACATGGCTAGCTTGCAGTATATGTGTATGTGTATCATATACTGTATCATGAATAGGTTATATATAGCATGCTAATATTAGTAGAGGCGTATTTATCCAGTTCACTCTTGATAGTAGATATATGGCATGCTGAAATCTAATACTGTATTTATTTCCTTTATTCAGGAAATCTATACTCTTTGGTTCTTTCGGTAAAGTCACGTAGGTAGAAATAAAATAAAATACCTACGTGCCTTTACCGAAAGAACCACAGAGTATGGATTCCTGCAGTCACGAAAGATTCAAATCAGGAAATCTATATTGGGTTTCATGCGTTGGGATGTTTGGCCAAATTATTATTATGATGCATGTTTAATTCGGAGTGGTTTGCTCAAAATCAGCCACACACACGTGAAGGTAAACACTCGACGCTCCGCACAGATGGGTTCACGAACCCACCATGCCTTGCTACTTCTTGGCCACGTCACAGCCCAGGTTTTGGGGGTTTCACAAATCTTTACGGAATCCACCAACCCTTGCCACCCAAGTGCTCCATCACCACGTGGGACGACTCAGTACTGCAGTATGCTATAGGACTGTGGTGATCAAAAGTCATAACTGACATTGACAATCGCACTGATGATTTTTTTTTTTTACAATATTACAAGATGATCAAGAACTTGCCGAAAAGCTATTATGTGTATAATTCTCATGATCAATATGTACGTCACAGCATCTCTATGTCGTCACCTTGAGTATGATACTCATCATCAGTATACGTTGATTAACGATCATCATCAGTATCATCATCATCATCATCATTTGTATGTTCATCAGCCTTTTTTTATCATCATATTAATGTTGTCACTATCCTCCATATCGTCATCGTTATCAGTATTAGTCAATCATCATCCTCTACATCACCGTCATCCTCAACATGATCATTATCAACAGTATGTTAAATTAGATTAGTCACATTCTCTACACCACCACCACCGCCGACATGCATACTTGATGCTTATCGAATTTCAGAAATAATTCATTATTCCTCGCACGGAAATTTCTCAAGGTCATCCCGAGGTGGAATTCAAACGAAAATTTGTAGATTAAAGAGAATGCCTTGTCTTGTTCGCATGCTCGTGCAGCGCTCAAACCGAGCCGATTTGCGCTTCAAGGAATTTTATATTTAACCTTGATTTACCCTTGATTTACACTTGTGCAATGTTTACCATTCCTCGAAGCGAGATATATTTGTTTTTGGTCTGATTTCTATTTACGCCATTGCTGGGCTTTATTTGTGTTGCTTTAGTCATTTTGGTGATCCAGGTCACGTCCACACGGGACTACACTTGCTCCTTAAATTCTCGCCTGGATAAACAACATTACACTTGAAACTCGTACTTGTCTTTTTGACTGTGGCTTCAGTTCTCTTTGCCTGGCATCTATCGTGTGACATCACCGATCTGGGTTGAGGATTGATGCCCATCCCTGATAATTTCCATCTTTTTCCGATTGTAAACATCTCTCTCCCTCTTACAGAGGGTGCTGTCCAACTGCTAACATTGCTCTGCCAATCTATATTTTTTCATCCTATCCCCCGATTGGCTTGCATTTGCCCTTGCAGGATCACCTTTTTCATATCTTCAACTGACCCTCTTTAGGGGATGTTTCACATGTGCGACGCATGTGATATGAAACCAATGTGTAAAATAGAACCCCTTTTCATATAATTATGTTATATTGTTTCTTAATTGTAGTTTCTGTACACCATGCATGAATAAATAAAGCAGAAACAATGTATAGCCCATCGTCAATCCATGTATGTATGTACTGTATGTTAAACTTCGTTGGCACCGTACGTAGGCGACTGTGCTAATCTGAGGAGCAGGGAAGGGGGGTTGATTGACCATGCTTCACCGTGCTGGTCAGAGGGGGTTGCTGAAGTCGTGGAGGAGAATAGGAAAATAACATATTAGTATGTGTGTGGAACCGTTATAGAAGTAGATGTTGTGTAGTTGAAATGCAAAATTCAACACAACCCCAATGATTCTATGGATTGCCACAATTCTGGTGCCACGCTCCTGTTAGATATTCTATTATTTTTAATATCTTTTAAAAAAAAAGTTTATATTATTGTGTTGGTTTTTGCCTCGATTATACATTTTGTTCGCTTCTTCTTTAGCCTAAAATAAACATTACCATCCCATTGTGTGTACAGATTTTGATTGTCATAGAATCATTATAATAACTTCACACACGATTTGCTACGTGTTTTGTAAGCCTATTTATCGACGTTAATTGATGATGCATGGCTTTTAATGTTGACTGTGTCGTAACTGAACTTGAGGCACTGCAGGATTTGTAAATAAAACCATTAACAAAGACACAGGGTGGACGTGCCATATCATTGTCCTATTTCTGTATTCAATATCACGGCCATTGTGGCAGTTGCTTGAGTTTGCCATGTTGCCCAGGTTTCGAACTCCGTATCCAACAACACTGATGGCAAACTCTACCTACCATGCTGCACAAGAAGGGACAGTGCTTGATTGTGTAGACTTGCAAGAACTGTCTCGTTTAATGTAAATGTGCGTCAGTGGCATGCGTCAAGTATTGCCTTTGTGGCAGTTTGGCCCAAACGACTTTAGCGTGGGACTGCAGTGTGATTATACGGTCTCTCTGACTCCCATCAGGCGCACATATAAACCCGATTTTGTAACTGGCACTAGCCTTTTGCCCATCAATTGTGTACAGTATCAATTATTTTGTAAACAGTTTACATAAATAATACACGCTGTCTTTCCGACAGACCTGTTCTTCACCTAAGGACGGCTGCTTGCGTTGTGGCCGAAACGTCGTGAGAATTTTATTTTATTATGTTTTATTTTTATTATTTCCCTTCTACGTAACTTTACCGAAAGAACCAAGAAGATGAATCCCTGCAGTCACGAAAGCTTTAAATCGAAATTTAATACACGCTTTGTACATTTGTAGTGTTGTAATAACAGATGAATAAACTCCTTTAAGGCACACACTGGTTTATTGTCTTTCTTTCGACACAGTCCCTACACACACACAGAGGGATAATACGGTTCCCTCACCCGTAGCCTAAGGAGGTACAGCCTCCGTACCTGACGGGACTTATACACAGCTCTGACTGCTAGCCTAGGGAGGTACAGCCTCCGTACCTGGCGGGAGCTATTCCCAGTCTACCCGCTACCCCAGCGTCCTCCGGCTGGGACCTAGGGGAGGCTAGCTTGACCCACCGCTGGCTCGGTGGGTCCCTTGACCACTGGTCGCACAGAGCCTTAGCTCTTACAAGAGCTGCAAGGCTGGGAGCCAGGGTCCTGCCTGCCAGGATCTATTCTCCCCTTGACCACTGGTCGCGCAGAGCCTTAGCTCTTACAAGAGCTGGAAGGCTGGGAGCCAGGGTCATGTCTGCCAGGACCTATTCTCCCCTTGACCACTGGAACACTGAGCCTTAGCTCTTAGAAGAGCTGCAAGGCTGGGGAGTCAGGGTCCTGTCTGCCAGGACCTATTCTCCCCTTGACCACTGGAACACTGAGCCTTAGCTCTCACAAGAGCTGGAAGGCTTGGTCCAGGCTCCTAGCTTCTTCAGCCCAGGCTTCTGTCTTCGTGTGAGGAGAACTGGCGGCGCTCCCCGCGCTCGCCGTTCTATACCCGTGTGTAACGGTCCTTATCCAATCACACGCTCCCTCGCGGGACCCTCTGATTGGTTCTTTACAAACCGTGTTTTCGATCCTCTTTTACCTCATCTGACCCCTGGCCGTTGGTCTGGCGGGGATCTGTGTTTACGATTCGCTCTCACCTCTCCCTGACCCCGGCCGTTGGTCTCAGAGCGGTAACTCTGCATTGCCCCTCTGATACATACTGGCCCCGCAAGTTACCGAATAGAGTGTCTAGCACCTCTACATCACCCCCCCCCCCTCCCTTCGGAAGCCTCAGCCGTCCCGGCTGCAACAATGGGAAACCCCAACAATGCAAAAACGAAGTGTGTGTGCCTTGCGAACAAGAACAAAATTCAAGAACAAGAATAAACACCCAATATAAATATCCCCCCTTAATAACACAACATATGTACAAGGTAAGTAACATTGTAACAATTGGACAAGATACGCGACGCGACAACCCAGGCAGCGGTTGCTGCAAAAAAACGATGCACCACCGGGACCGTGTCGTACAACGTAACGTAGATATTACGAAAACCAGCGGGATTTTGCACCCGTGTGTCTCGCGGGACCATCGTAGGGGACGAGTGGCCCCTTCAGCGGTGCAGGCGGATCAGGCGGCATGACAGGAATGTCAGGTGGGTCAGGAGGCCTCTCCTTGGAGACCCCTGACGACCCATGGTCCACCGTGGCTGATCGTGGCCTGCACGGCCCAATCATTCCTGTGTCATCTGCGATCGAAACGTCGTAGTTTTTTGTTATTTTCTTTGAACCTATCTACGTGACTTTACCGAAAGACCCAAAGAATAACATCATGACGTCCTTTTTACTTTGAGGTCTCAACAGCGTCACGGAGACCACGTGACGTGAGGATTCTGCCTTTGTAGTGAGGGTTGTGAGTTGACGCCGAGGAGGGGGTAGGAGGCGCCTCGCCCTCCCCCCCATGTGGAGGGACGTCACCCGCTAATTATTATGAATGGAGGGTGGCCATTTGGAGGACGTCACTTGATTATTAATGAGGGGGGGAGTACTCGATATTGAGTGACGTCACCCGCTCGTGATAGTAGGGGGGTGTTCATTTAAAGGACTGTCACCTGCTCGTGAATATTAATGAGGGGGACTGGTCGATGTGGAGTGACGTCACGAGCGTTAAGGACATTCCTGGGTGATTATAGTAGTAGGTATTCTATTTGAATAGATTACTATTAAAAAAATACTATTCACTTTGTATACACGTGGTATTTAAAATAGCTAACGTTCAGTAATCATAACAATAAATAAGTAAACATGTCAGGGGCCGTCCATAAAAAGTCAGACCCCCCTCAAATATGACGTCACAAAGCTCTGCTCCCCCCCCCCCCCCCAAAATAAAGCACGCTTCAAATCGCTTTAAACTATTGTCATTGTAGTGCGTATTTAATATGCCGCTGCACTTTGATGTTGTAGGAGAAAACATTTATTAAAAAGTCTATTTAATTAAGTAGAACGTGTTGTCTATTTTTATTTAAAGTTGCGCATTTTGATGTGACGTCACATTTCTCAACCCCCCCCCCTCGTCACACATCGTCACAAATGTCTGACCCCCCCCCACCCCCACTAGGTGCGTGACGTCATTTATGGACGGCCCCTAAGGTTGGAAACCTGGCATTGTAACCCAAGATTAAAGTGGTGGTGGCCACTATGAGACATCTCCTGTACCAGTGGCAAAATATAGCAATAGGGTTTTACCCTTTCAACTGGTACAAAAACTGAGACCTTTATACAAGGCATCATGTTTGCAATAACCACAACACAAGCAGTCAAAAATTAACCCGTAAAAACAAAGTTTTTCACTATAAATCCTTTATATGCGTGGCGGCTAGAGTCCTCTGGCTTGAGATGGCTGCCACCTATGGGTCAGATGATTGCCTACCAGCATTAAGCAATTGGTAATTACATATAATATTTTTGTCCTAAAAAGTGTAAAATTTTGGAAAAAAATTTTCACGAAAAGTAATTGTCACGCACAACGAGTCTGTGTGGAAAATGTCAGCTCGATTGGATCACGGGAAGTGGGTTAAAAAACGACCGAAAGATTTGCACGGTCCTAATATAAAGGATTAAAAAATGCAAACAAAAAGAAACAACTCTGATAATGATAAGCACTATCCTTATCATTATCAGAGTTGTTTCTTTTTGTTTGCATTTTGACTGCTTGCGTTGTGGTTATTGTAAACATGATGCCTTGTATAAAGGTGTCAGTTTTTGTACCAGTTGAAAGGGTAAAGACCTATTACTATATGGTGTTGGCCAGCTGAGAAGATGTCTCTCTCTCTCTGACCTTCCTGGAGCCGGAGCCAACCCGGCCATCATCTCTCGTGTGAGTTTGTGCAAGTGTGTCGCCACCTGCAGCATTGCCAACAACACTGCAAACGTGGTTTGGCGTTCACATTTAAAGCCGGTGAGTTTCACCACGACACGAATCGGCACTAAAACAAACGCACGGGCACAATCTCTGATGTTCCAAGAACGATCACCACGAGGCGCCACTGAGTTAACTTTTTGCTGCCGCGACCGCTTGCGTAACCGCGGCGCTAACCGGTCACCAAAATCCACGTAACTTTCGATTTCACCGACGAAACCGAAACGCGAAACGGTGGGAGGTTTGTTCATGTTCTTGTTGTTATTGGTGCCGACTATAAGAGAAATGTCACCGCTGTGGACGAAGTGTTTTAGCGGCAGCGTTGGCAAGGCCGCCACGGTGGCTCGGTGCCTCCGGCCTCACGGAGGCCCTCTGCGATCAGGCCACGCGTGGGGGGGGCCACCCACTGCGATCAGGCCACGAGTTGGGGGGCCACCCAGTGCCCTGGGACATCGTGGGGGGCCACCCCCTCCGTTCGGCGGCAGGGCCGGGGAAACGAGGGGTCCACGCGAAGTGGGACAGCGCGGCTGATGCACGGACGTGCTGGTGGTGGACCGTGTCGATTGTGCCAAGGTGTGTATGTGTGTTGTTTGTGTGAATAATAATAGTGTGCACGACATTCTTCTATCTTACACACACCACATGTGGCGCACGTGCGCTCAGCGGCTCTTTGGTAAATCCGCTGCTGGATGAGGAGGCACTTTTCCCACCCTCGGAGTTGGTTTGGTTGGTGGAAGCGATGAGCATAGGCGTGTAGCACACTCCATCCTTGTTATTCGTTTGCATGTTCACCGCTGTGTGTGGTGAATGCAGACAGGATTGCTTGCAAAAGGTTTCTGTTTGGTGTTTTGACATCTTAACACAACTGTTGTATTGCCAGAAAGGGTAAAACCCTATTCTTATATTTTTATACTGGCAAGAAAGTGCCCATATTGTGCTGCACTGGCATCTGCATCGTTGGGTTGTCCTAGGTGTCAGCATTGAGTACATCTACCGGATATTTGATGAAGTTTGTAAGACGTGGCTTTACACCCAAAACATCTAATGTTGGTGACAATCACGCCTAAAAACACGTGTGGCATAATATATTACCAAGTAGGTGCCCAATTACTCAATGGGGTTTACGCATGGGAATCATTGCCTCCTGACTGCGAAAACTTGGCAGGGACTCTCCTGCAAAAAGAGTCATGAGACTCAGTGAAGAGGCTTTTGAAATGTAAATACAGAAACAAATCTTTAAACCATACTAATTAGGTGAGAGCCTTTACTGACTTAATTTATACTGTACTATGCAAAAATTAAGTAAGCAGTAGGCTGGTCTTATAATTTGCATTTGGAGTGGTGTAATTTGCCTGAGCTGATTGCCAGAGACTGCTGCTGGGAACCCAGCTACTGGGTTTCTGTGACCCTGACCATGAATAATTTGGACAATATGACATGGTTTTGTGGGCTCTCTCTTCCCAGGATGGCAGGCCTTGCTGGGACACCCATGGGAGCCCAATCTCCGCTATGGGCACGTGGTTTCACCATACAGCGTGGAGAGGTGGCTGAGAAGCCAGCAGTTGGAACGGCTGCCCAACAGGTAATGGGGGTCCCTTTTTCATGGCTATCATGAATACCGTATTTGGCATACCAATGACGAATACAGAGTAATGTCTTATTTTATATTTCATTCTAACAAGGCTCAGGCGGCTGGGTCCACGAAGAAGCCAGACCCTCCCATCGCAGAGTCGGTTGGAACACCCAGCAAAGCACAGCAGCTGAAGCGCGTATTCAAGGAGTATGGTGCAGTCGGAGTTGTGTTCCACATCTCAATCTCGCTCGTCTCTCTCGGCATCTGCTACCTCGCCGTGTCTAGGTGCCGTTGACGATTGCGAGCTCCGTTTGGAGTTCCCTCCGGCTGTTGTATGTGTGTCGAGTGTATGATGTTGCTATATGTGGTGGTGTTGTGTAGTTGTGCCGTGTGTGATGGGCTTTATAGTATTATTGTATGCGTGGTGTGTTGTGTGTAATGGTGTTGTGTGCGTACAGTTTATTGTGAATGTACTGTTTGTGTGAGCTTCGTGGCCTTGTGTATGATTGTGTGTGTAGTGGTGTGAGCGTACTGTTGTTTGCATGTTGTTATGAATGTAGTTGTGTGTGTTGTGTTTCCGGTGATCCAGTTGTGTCCATATGCTATTGTGTGTGTATTGGTGTCTCCTACCCTATGTTGTGTGCATGGTATAGTTCAGAATGTATACTGGACACACATAGGCATCAAGCACCAAGCAAAAGGGCACTCACTACACGGTGCATACACAGGGAAAACATACATGATTACGTAATTATAATATAATACAGAAATACTGACTAAAAAAACCTCAACACATTAGTCAATAACACTGCCATAAAAGGGGAATATATATAATCGGAAACGTTTCAGGCAATAACCCTCCTTTATGGCCCTTAATAAAAGCTTGCCTTTGCCAAAAACCTTGTCTATTTAATATACATATTTAGTTTTAGGCTACTTTTATTGACGAACGCACTGCATTTTTGTTATTCACGCTTGTGCACCACTGCCAACACATTATTGCAAAACAACGTTTGCTTTTTAGGATTAAAAAGACTAATATTCTGGCTAAATGAACACTGGATTATTGCACCGCCGTTGCGTGTGCATGGTGTGATGTTTCCGCGTGCAGTGGCTTGGACGTGGAGGCGTTGCTGCGGAAGCTGGGCGTTGGCGAGGCCTTCTTGAGCTCGCGTGCTGCCACGGGCACAAGCACGTTTGTGCTGGCCTACGCCATGCACAAGGTGATGGCGCCGGCACGCATCAGCATCACGCTTGTGTCCGTGCCACTGCTCGTGAGATACCTGCGGAGGGTCGGCCTCTTCCGCCCACCTGTCCCCAAGCCCTGAGGATGTTGCTCACCAGGCCACCATCACACGCGTTGACCGACCGTCTTTTGCCAACCACTGTGGTGGCACCTTAAGTATGAGGGCTAACGAATTTGTTGACTTTTGTTTTGCATTGTTTAATTGTTTCTTTCTAAACACTGGGATATATCATGGAAGTAAGATATCTTCCAGTACTGGAATAGGGGAGAAATAATTGTCAATGGATTATATTCGGTGGTGAATTATTAAGAAACTGACAAAAGCAGGGATGTTTAATGTCCTGGGAAGACTGAAATATTGCCCTGAACAGCTGCTTCAAAAATGGGATGATCCTGGGAAAAGCATGATAAGTGGCAACCTTACTGAGATTGGAGGATGTTGTACATGGATCATGTGCAAGTCTGTGTTTTATTAGTTAGATGTAATTGATTCATTATTTTGTAAAGAAGACTTTACAGATGGTGTAAAGAAGTTGCAAAGTAGGTCACTGTGTGGCCGATGTTTTATCCAAAATCTTAATGTGAACATTGCCTGTAATTAATTTACCAAGCGAGCCCTCATTGTTACAAAACTATGGGTTTGAAGTAATAAAACAATGAACAGTGTTTATTTTACATACAAAAAAATTCAGCAGCTTTTAAGTCCATCACCAATGGTACTTTTGGACGAATATATTCTGACAGGTAAACCCTGGACTGGTTTTGACTTTGACTCTCATCACCTGGGTGTGGCTTGCCTTATAAAACTAATGTTGCCAAGTTGCCATGTGCCTTGTATACAAACCCATCCATGACCAACCATGGGACAGGCCAACAGTGTGGTTATGCATGTCCACTTGGAAAACACATAAGACACCATGGTTGATGAAAGATGATACATTTATTGAAGATGACCAAACGGTAGTCTGATCACTACCTTTAAAGTAGTGTGGGCAAAATAGAACCTGTGGGCTGAGACAGCTCATGCTTGCTTGAAAGTGCATACTTAAATGTTTTATTTTATCGTTTTATAAATGATTGAAATACATGGCAATGGCAAAAGGTGACAAAGAATAAACAAGATTTTTGTGCGTAACATATAGTTGATTGTTACAACCGTCAAATTGCCCTAGTCAATATAATTGAAAGCACAATAGCATTTGATATATGATGTCATCTGCCTGTAATATGATGACTTTTGATGGCATAAAAACAAGGCATATACATTGTGCGTTCATATATTAAAGTACTACTTAAAGAGAGCTTTCGAGATTAAGTTGGGTTATCCAACGTTTATGGACTGGGCCCAGTCACCAATGGCTGCACAAAAATACACCACGTTAATTTTGGCTTTAAACTAATTTGGATACATTCCTACTATGATAATTAATAACACAGGGTTTCCTGTCATGTGACCAGCATTACTTTGGAGTGTGGGAAGTGATGCGCTCTAGTGTGGGTTAAAGGTCACTTGAAGCGATTTCTCAAGCAGTTCTATACTGTGTCATTCTGCAGACTATTTTCTAATACAATACTCCCTGACACCGATAACACAATTAGGATGACGTCGTCGAGGAAAAGACTTTACAAAATAAAGACAAGCGCACATTGCGTGCAATGCTGGCATGTGCATACTATAATTTAGTGGTTGACGGTCCACTGGGCACACTGGATTGGCCTGTGTCCTTGGGCTTGGACCGCCAATTGAGCAAGCATATTGCTTCAGCTGGGACCGATGCAGTCCAAATGTCGTTGACTAACGCGTGATATTACACAGCCCAAGAACAGCACACCCGCCAATGCACTTTGTGCGGCCATTTCTTGGACACTTATTTAAAACGTGGACACTGACGAAGAAGATGTATCAAAAGCTTCGCAGAGTGCAAAGAAGCGTGGAGAGATGGGATTACACTCAGATGGAAAGAGGAACACGTACTTAACTGGTAAGTCTAAGTGGGCTAGAGTAAGACATGTTATTAGAAGTGATGAGGCCATTTGGTGAAAATAACTACTGTACTGAGTGGCAGCCAAACGCACAAATACAACCACCATGGAGATGGAGCAATACGATTGACTTATGTGCAAGTGCTGAGTGGGTTGTTGCATCACAGGACCACGAAGGGTGGCGGCGACTTGAGGCCTTCATCCAGCAGTGGATCGATCATGGCTGAATACACATTAGTCAATAAAAACTGAATTAAAACTACGCTTATGAAATTAAATTGCAGTGTAATATAATATACCACATTATATGCCACATTTTACATATCTGTATTGTTATGCTAAAACAGGCCCTTTGGTTTAAAGTGAATATGCCTGTTCTTTAATAATTGTATATATGATTTTCTTTTGTGTATGTGGAAAATCAGTGAAATGACAATGGATATAGGGTCCAATTATTACATATAGGTGAATGTTCTTTGAGTCTTACTAGGAAAAAACAAGCAAATGTAGCCAATACAAGCAACGCAGGGTAATACTAAAGTGATGTTTCCACCATTTCATAGAAATGTGAATCTATCTCATTGTCTCCAATGAAAAATATGATGCAGTACTTTATATTGACAAAAATAACACATCTATTCTCGTGGTGATGTTTGACACCTGGTGCATATGCCTTGTAACATTTTCTGAAATGTGTCCTGCTGCACATTGCTGAATAATCCAGTAATCATGGTTTTAATGTTTAATGACCAGGCTGCTTGTGTTTTCTCCTCAGTACTGTACTGAGCCATTTGCACTGCACCTAATATAGATATGTTCTTGGAAAGTGCCAACCGTCTCCAGAGTAATGGCAAAAGAAACCACGAGACCAGAGACCCGATTTTTGTGTAATCACAGAATTTGGGTTTTAGTTGATGAATTATTACAGGTTGACGCTTATTTAGTTTGCACGAGGGGTTAGAGTTAGCCTGTTTGGGTTATGGGTAAGAGGTTAGGGGTTAGGGTTTAAAATTCGGGTTTAGGGCAGTGTTGTCCAACTTTGCTGGTCTTTTCAACCCTCACATTTCTCTCTCGGACCACCACGAAGTATACATTCTGGTGTTTTGTGAATGTTTTTGTATCTGCAACAGTTCAATGGACCACTTTCCATGATCTTGCGTGGCATCAGTGATCTGCAGACCACTGGTTGGGAACCACTGGTTTAGGGGTTAGCATGATACTTTAGGGTTAGCGGTTTGGGGTTAAGAGTTTCGGGGTTAGGATTTGGTTTTAGGGTTATAAGGTTCGTTGTCTTGACCACTTTTCTTGCTACGAATCTGTGATGACAATAATCTCGGCCGAATGTAGTAACTGGACTTCAGTACTTGCAGGACAGCTGAATCATGGAAACGACTCTTGTGACTTGTTACATCAGCATAATTTTTATTTTCCATTCCATTGCGGCGAAATGTGTACATACAACCACTATTAACATGCAGTGGTGCGTTATTGACTTGACAGTCATGTTAACACTGCAGTTATAAAATTTTAAATAAAACTGATTCTACAATAATTACGTACATTTTGTTGTTGTTTCGTATATATTACTTGTAACTTGTGGGTGGAGTGGTGTGGCTCATTGGTTTGCACTTTGTGCTGTGAACCTGGATATTTAAGTTCCATTTTGGACACGGCTAACATCAGTGACGAGTAATGTCGGAACGAGTCCTGTGCCCTTTCACGTAACATCTGACTTAACCAAGTCGCACTGTTAAGCATAAAAAAAAATAGTTAAAGACCTCCATGATCATCGTGGAATAGGGAGGCCTTTATCTAGCAGTGGATGTATTAAGGGCTGTGTAAAATAGTGGGTTGCAATCAATTACATAGTCAATAGATGAATAGACTAGGGGATATTTTACGAATTAAATTGAAAATTTTGCAAAATGCCTGGAAAAAAACCCACGCAAAGGGGAGAACATGCACAGCCGCAGACAAGTCATAACCTACTTGCTGTACTACTTCCCTTGTCATCACTTTGTTGGACAGAAGGCAGGTAGGTGTCTTGTGTCAGACTCGCATCTGTAAGACGTATTCCACTGTGCTAATTTATGATGTGCAATTGTGACTTTCCATATGATAACTACATATTTGGGTCCTATATGAAGATAAAAAAACTAATATTTGAGTGACACAAATATTTTCCAATGTCTACCCAGTGTGTTGTGCGCGACATAAAAAAAATCACATAGCATCACTCCGGTCCTCACTTTCCAATCTCAAACACTGCAATAAAAGTACACTATTATCTGATACATGAATTGGCATGGTTTCGGGTCACGATTCCATGTTCCATGGAAGAAAATACAAATCGATGTTTTGTGAATGCTTTCAATTGTATTGCTGATCGCATTTGTAGCGTATGTAGTCTCGTTTATATTGGCTACTGTTATGTTGTCTGTAATATCTCGCCTCTCATTCATTACACGAGTCCAGATGTAACCTTTGCATCACATTTGCATATATCAAACGTCCAGTAATTTGTCAATCCGCAGCTGAATGGATTGTGGGGAGTTATTTGAACATACTTCACCATGCTGGTCATTGCAGGTTGAATATTTATTCATATCCGAATTTTTATGAATCGATTAATGATCTGGTTCAAAGCAATGCATGCAAGCATACACACACATCCCACACAACCTTAGTAAATGTAGGGAATGCGTTGACAGTCGTGCACACGTGGTGCACATTTCTCCAAAGAGGGGCAATAGAATTTCAGAGCAGGCATCTTCAACGAAGGACCATTGCCCGAAACGTCGTCCTGATACATCCACAACCAGTTCATTCGAACAATGCGTTCATTGTATACATGTCGCGTTTGTTGTAACTTAAATATCACCCGGCTGGCTGTCTATGCAGCCTTCTTTCTCCCTTGCTAGCTAAATGGGAGCACATGTGCTCTCAGTGCCCGCCTATTCCGCCCTCTGGGCGGAGGCTGAGCGGACTGCACCATTCGTCCTGCAGGGGAAGGGGAAGAGGAGGAGGAATTATCGAGATATTCACCATACAGGCACGGGGTTGGTGGGGTTGGTGGGGTGGGTGGGAGATGAACATTGAGCTGGAGGGCTTTTTTTCACGGACGCGACCGACTCGACTTGAAGACCGCCCTCTCTCTCTCTCTGCCTTGTGTCACCGGATCCCTTTAATTGCCTGGGAGACACGGTGAGCGACATCGTCCGCTTGGAGGCGTCTTGCCTCCGCCGGATATAAGAGGAGAGAGAGAAAAAAGTGTCCGTGTTTGTTGGGGAGGAGGAGGAGGAGGGAGGGGTGCGAGAGATGGGCCAAGCCGGGCGGCAGAGGGGAGGGTGCAACTCTGAAAAGATGAAAACCCTAGTGCCTTGAATTCACAGCTCCATCCTCAGCCACCACCACCACCACCACCCAACCAACCACCATCACCACCACCACCAGCTGCAAAATCAGCCAGCAGAAGCAGCACGAAGGCTCATTTCCCCCCTCTCCTTAGCCGTGTCTCCATTCTCTCAGCCCTGGTCGAGTCGGTGGTCTTTCTCGCAACCACACAGACAGACCACAAGAGAAAGAGAGAGACACACACGCACCAACAGCAAGCAGCAGCAGCAGCATCACCACGAGAAGCAAATCCAGCAGCAGACAGAGCAGACAGCCATGTCCCTGGCGTTTGTCGCATCCCGGCAGCAGCAGCAACAACAACAACAACAGCAGCAACAACAACAACAACAGCAGCAGCGAAGCAAGAGTGAGGTTAGCCAGGCGAGCATCCAGAAGGTGAGAGGCTGTGGGGGAGGGGACGTGAGATGAATGTTACTGGAGGGGGTTGGGTGATAGGTTAGGTGGGAGGTGGTGTAGTGGGGGGGTGGGTGATAGGTTGGGGTTTGGAGATGGTGGTGGATCTGGGTGTGATTTTTTTTCAGATGAGAGGAGATGGATGGATGGAGGAGGTGGGGAGAGGAGTGGTGGGGGGGGATGAGAGATGTGGTGTTGGGTGAAATTCGGTTGTGGGATGTTGTTGGTGGGAGGTGGATGGAGGGGGTGGGTGATGGTGGATGGGCAATGGATTCATTGATTTTGTGATGTATATTGTGGGGGTGGATGTAGGGAGGGAGGATTTTGGGATGTTGCGAGGTTGTGGATGGATGCAGGGAGGATGTGGGTTTGAGTAGTGGGGGGTTTATATAAATACTGTAGGGGTTTGAGTGGTGGGGGGTTTATATAAATACTGTAGGGGTTTGAGTGGTGGGGGTTTATATATAAATACTGTAGTGATTGCAGAGAGGGGCTGTGTGGTGGGGGTTTGAGACGTGGGACGTGCGTGTGTGTGGTGGTGGTTTTGGGAGATTGGCCCCATGTCTGTGGCGGCGGCTGTGTAGAGGGGATGAGGTTGTGGGTGTGGGGAGGATGCTGGGTTAGTTGGTGGGTGGGTAGGTTTTTGGTGGTGGGTGGTGGGTGGGTAGGTTTTTTGTGGTGGGTGGTGGGTGGGTAGGTTTGTGGGTGGGTAGGTTTTTGGTGGGTGGGTGATGGTGGGTGGGTGGTGGATTTTTGGTGGGTGGTGGTGGGTGGGTGGGTAGGTTTTTGGTGGTGGGTGGTGGGTGGGTAGGTTTTTGTTGGTGGGTGGTGGTTGGTGGGTGGTGGTTGGTGGGTGGGTAGGGTTTTGGTGGGTGGGTGGTGGTGGATTTTTGGTGGGTGGTGGTGGATTTTTGGTGGGTGGATTTTTGGTGGGTGCTGGTGGGTGGGTAGGTTTTTGGTGGGTGGGTGATGGTGAGTGGTGGTGGATTTTTGGTGGTTGGGTGGGTAGGTTTTTGGTGGGTGGGTGATGGTGGGTGGGTGGTGGTGGATTTTTGGTGGGTGTGGTGGGTGGGTAAGTTTTTGGTGGGTGGTGGTGGGTGGGTAGGTTTTTGGTGGGTGGGTGGGTAGGGTTTTGGTAGGTGGGTGATGGTGGGTGGTGGTGGGTGGATAGGTTTTTGGTGGGTGGGTAGGTTTTTGGTGGGTGGTGGTGGTGGGTGGGTGTTTGAATCGTGTTTGGGGGAGGGTACGCGGATGAGAATGAATGGGGGGGGGGGGGGTGCACACGCTGGTGAGAGAAAGAAGACCACGGGAGGATCGGATGGGGGTGTGTGTGCACGGAGGGCTTCTCTATGGACGCGCGCAGCAGCAGTGTTGCACACTGAAATACATGCTCCACGTGAAATCTGTGCGTGCGTGGGTCACCGCACGCGTGTGTCTACCCCAGTAACGATGGCCCCGTGTGTGTGTGTGAAGCTGCCACGCTATAAACGCCCTTGTACGTGCCGAGTGTTTTGAGAAGGCGTGGTGGTTGTTGTTGTTGTTGGTGGTGGAGAGAGGATGTGTGTGTGTGAGCAATCGATGTGTATACAACTGCGTGTGTGGTGTGTGTGTGTGAGCTTGCCGAGGCCAAATATCTGCGTATTGTTAATGCACTGCCACGTGTGTGGGTGTTGGTGGTACCTTGTGGCACTACCAAGTACACGTACAGGTCATACTCTCATACCTGTCAACCCATACGATTTACCCGTATTCTTGTACAGGGAAATTGAGTACACATTTTTTTGGTCTTAATTTTTTGCATTTCTCACCTTGTGATATGATTTTGTAGGATGCACGTTGAGAATTATAAGGGGCACGGAGTGACCCACGAGGTCTGAATTTGTCTGTGATAAGTGAGGGCATTGACGAGGTGTTGACGGGTATGATGAACTCTGCTGTGTACGAGGGTTGTTGCTGTCGGACTGTGACTCCCCACTGTTGGGTAAAGGCCTCCCCAATGTCCTTCCACTACTTCCTGTCTTGAGCCATTGTCCAGTGGTAGTGGGGTCAATGGGGCATCCACAGTAAACAACGTGAACCAACGTTGACCCAACATCAACCAACGTTGGTTGGCCAATGTTGGCCAACCAACGTTGGTTGGCCAACGTTGGCCCAACGTTGCCCCACACCAACCAACGTTGGCCCAACGTTGGCACAACACCAACCAACATTGGCCCAACGTTGCCTCAACACCAGCCAACGTTGGCCCAACGCTGACCCAACGTTGCCCCAACACCAACCAACATTGGGCCAACGTTGCCCCAACGTTGCCCCAACACCAGCCAACGTTGGCCCAACGTTGCCCCAACGTTGCCCCAACACCAGGCAACATTGGCCCAACGTTGTCCCAACGTTGCCCCAACACCAGCCAACATTGGCCCAACGTTGTCCCAACGTTGCCCCAACACCAGCCAACGTTGGCCCAACGTTGACCCAACGTTGCCCCAAAACCAACCAACGTTGGCCCAACGTTGACCCAACGTTGGCCCAACGTTGACCCAACGTTGCTTCAACACTAACCAACATTGGCCCAACATCGTTCAACGTTGGTTGTGTGTGTTGTGTGTACAGGAGATTTTTGGTGCATTTGTGTTGATTGTGTGTGGTCGAATGTATGTCGCTATTTTGTGTATGTTTAGCGTGCAAGGTGTGTATCAGGGTGTGTATGTCAATAGATAACTGCTGTTCGTCAGTATTGTGTTGGTTTGCTGTGTTTTCTGTGTGCTGCTAATTTGTACAGACTAGGTGTTTGTGTAATGTGTGTAATTAATACTGTGGTTAATGTTTGTGTTGGTGTGTATTGTTGTTGTGCCAAGCTTGTGTGGACTGTCAATAATTTAGTGTGTATTAGTGGTGAGTGTGGTTATACACGTGTAATTTTGTTGACTTTTTGGATTGCATATAACTGTGTGAATGTAGATGTTGTAAATGAGTGTGTTTCTTTGTGTAAATGTGTTACGAGTTTGTATAACCTGTTACATATCTGCGGTGTGTACATGTGTTGATAGTTGCTAATGAATTGTGACCTCTGCATTGCATGTTTGAATATCTGTTATGTATCATTGTCTGAGCCAGTGTTTTAATAGCCAGTCAATGTGTGTGTTGCCAGCTTGTATAAACTAACTTGCCAGTTCCCATGACCCTCTTGTACAGTGTATATATATTGTATGCATGAAATAGTTTCGCGACAAATAACTTGGAAGGAATAAAATCAATATCATGAGCGACGTTTCGGGCAATGGCCCTTCATAGCACTGAAATAGGACGTAAAGAGTTGAAGATTGCACTTCAGCACCATGGGGGGCCTGATAAGAATTACATTTTAAATGTTTGTTCCTGATTATCACTTTCAAATAGGCATACGAATGAATAGTTTTAGCACTTTATGCCCTAGCCAATGCATGCATGTGAAGTGTTGTTGAAGACGCGTGGACAACGGGGTAAGGCACACGTATTTATTTATACAAAGGGCTTACAGTACTAGAGGGATGTATCGGCCCCCTCACCCGTACAACTGGGAATTCACCCCTAGCTAGCCTTCCTAGCTGAGTCCTCCGCTAACGGGCTAGGGGAGGCTGTCTGGCCCGACACTGGTTAGTCGGGCTACGGTACCCGGAATCCCAGAGGTCTGACTCTGGTTCCGGGACCACGCCACTGGCTCCAGCCTGCACTGCCCTTACAAGGGCGGCGTCCCAGGGGGAGTCCAGGGCCTATCTGGCTGGTCTTCTCTCTTCTCTTAACTACTCTAAGACTGAGCCCCGAGCTCTCTGGCTCAACCCTTTTTATACCCCGTTAGAGGATCGAAACCCCCCTCACGCCGTCCAGTACGGACGTCGTTGCGGGCACCACCCCGTGTGCTCACGGAGACCCCGCCCACTGTGTCTGTTTTCCATTAGCCCCTATGTAAACAGCCCTACACAAACAGACCCTCTGTAACAGCCCTACATCACCCCCCCCTGTACAGCTCGCAGCCGTCCCGGCTGCAACAACTTTCAATAAAGGTTATTCAACCCCTGGATCCCCGCGTGTGCCTTAAAAAAACGTTTTGAACGCTAACTTGAAGGAACCAACAGTAACAACAACAACAACGACAATGACAACAACAAAACCCTCAACCCTGAAAGGGAACAATCCGACGCACCCCCCCCGAATAAATACGGATACCGTAAGAACGAGCTATATACAATATGTAGCGAAGCCACAATGCACACCAATGGGCAGGGGACACCCCCCCCCCACACAACACACAATGAACACAACATATATATACAAATCTTGCGGTTCCTCAACAGTCTGCGCATTTTTGCGCGTGTCCTTGCGGTATCACAACAGTTTGCGCATTTTTGCGCGTGTCCTTGCGGCGGGCCCCTCACACGGGGGAACCCCGGTTGGCGGACCGTCAGGTGGCAATCGTCCGTCCGGGAGCGGGGTCTCCTCTGATGCCTCGTGACTGTTGGTATCCCCAGAAGGGGTGGTCGGGCGTGAGCCCGTCAGTCTCGATGCACCTGGAGGTGGCACGGCCGGCAAGGCATTAGGTGAGCGCGGTGGGGACGGACCTAGTGAGTCGGTCGACCCCCCACACGTCTGGCCACGCATGTGTGAAGTGGGTTTGTGTGCCGCGACGAAAGGTTTCAACCGAGAGGGGTGCACGAACCATCGCCGCTTCCCCCAACGAATGCGCACGCACTGTGGTCGCAGGACCTCGACCACTTCCACAGGCCCCCGCCACGGTCGCGCCAGCTTTGGGGAGGTAGCCAGGGGTACTTGGGGACAGTGCAACCATGCCCTGTCCCCCGGTTTCCACTGTATGACATGCGCTCGACCCAACCTGAGGCGCTCGTTCGCCTTTTGACGGAGGTCCGAGTTTAACCTCGCAGCATCCCGTGCCTCTGTTAACTTAGCCAAATTAAATTTGACGTGGTCAGCCAATTTTGTTTTACCTT